GCTTTTCTTTCTGTCTGAAAGTCATGACCTGTATTTGTACATGATTCTTTTGAGGAAAGAAAAAGATAGATGATCTGTTCCGCTGCATTTGATGTTTATAGTATCTCTGTGTGTCTGTTTCTGTGTGTAATGTTTGGAAGAAAGTTCTGAAACAAATTTCAAAGCTAGATCCTGGAATCAGTTCAGTTAGTTTGAAAGTTCAAGCACCCACGACCCGGTGCGAGCGGGACCCGTCCCGATCGGGTCGGGTCGTGACAGTTAATTTGGGAATGGTCGAAATGGGATGAAAATTTGGGTTTTTCAATGGTGGGGTTATATCATGCTGTTGTAAAAATGGGTTGGGTGGATTGAAATCAGGGCCTTCGTAAGCAACTAGACCCTCTATGTTAAAAGTTGGGTTGATGTTGAAATCCTCGGGGAGGTTTACCACATATGCATTGTCATTGATTTTTCTTAATATTTTGAATGGCCCAGCACTCTTAGCATGTAGCTTCTTAACGGTTCCTTGTGGGAACTGTTCCGGACGGATCCGCACCATCACGGAGTCACCTACCTTAAAAGTTTTAAATCTTCATTTTAAATTAGCATATAACTTGTAATCTTTATTGCTCTTTTCAATATTTTGTGCAATTTCTTTATGCAGTTCATGATGATGAGATGCAAATGCAGACGCTGACTCGGAAATCTTATACCTAGAACTCATAAGGATCAAATCTAATGGCTATTTGGGCTTAAACCCGTATAAAAAATCTCAGAAGGACTTAGACCCGTGGTTCGATTGATAGAATTATTGTATGCAAACTCAGCAGTGGGTAGGATAGTGTCCCAATCTCTAATATGATCCCCAACCAAAGAATGCAAAAGATTTCCCAAACTCTTGTTAACTACCTCTGTCTGACCATCGGTATGTGGGTGAAAGGCAATAGAGAATTATAGCTTGGTACCCATCTTCATCCACAGGGTCTTTCAGAAATAGCTAGTGAACTTCATATCTCTATCCGATACAATGGTTTGAGTAAACCATGCAAGCGGATGACCTCATAAAAATGTAGCTTGGCGATGTGAGAGGCATCAGATGTTTTGGAACAGGGGAGGAAATGAGTCATCTTTGAAAATCTATCTACGACAATGCATATGGCATCATTCCTACGTAGTGTCTTTGGCAAGCCTAAAATAAAATCCATAATGACATCCTGCCAAGGGCAACTAGGCACAGGTAACGGAGTGTAAAGACCAGTGTTCTGCTTACGTTGTTTGGCTAATTATTGACATGTGTAGCACCTAGCAACCATCCTACCAACATCTCGCTTAAGGCTCGGCCAAAAGAAACGATACTCAATGGCCTCAATCATCTTATCTCTCCCAAAATGTCCAGTGAGGCCTCTAGCGTATGATTCCCACACAAGAAATTCCATAAGGGAGGTGCTAGGGATACAAAGCTTTTAGGATTTGAAAAGGTCACCATCCTCCAATATGAAATCATCCATGAGATGCGTGCTGCCTGTGGATAGGGAAGAGTAAATATCTCTGAAGTCTGGGCACTCAAGATAATCCATCCTCATCTGATCAAAACCGACGACTTCCACTCTAAACTCAAGAGTAGTCAACATTCGTCAACTGAGAGCGTCAGCAGCTTATTCTCGACCCCTGCCTTGTGCCTAAGGGTGTAAGTGTACTCCTGAAGAAATTCTACCCAGCGGCCATATCGGGCATTAAATTTCGTTTGAGAATTAATGTATTTCAAAGCCTTGTGATCTAAAAAGATGATGAACTCTTGCGAGAGAAAGTAGTGTCACCAGTAGCGAAGGGACTGGATCATGGCATAGAATTCCTTGTCATACGTGGAGTAATGCTACCTAATATCATTTAGCTTCTCGCTGAAATATGATACAAGGTGACCCTCCTGGAGGAGGACTCCTCCTATTCCGACCCCTGAAGCATCGCAGGTCACTTCAAAGACTTTAGAGAAGTCAGGAAGTCTCATCACTAGGGCCTCCCCCATTCATTTCCTAATCTCCTTGAATGCTCTGGTGGCAGCTGGGGTCCAGTGGAAATCACCCTTCTTCAGACAATCAATAATAGGAGATACAATGGTGCTGAAATTCTGGATAAATCTCCAACAAACTTACCCATAAAGGGGCGCAACACCTAAATCATAACCCTCATTAAAGTGCTAGGGACATTACTCAATCCAAAGGGCATGACTAACCACTCATATAAGGCAATCTTTCATTTTGAATGCGGTCTTCCACTCATCCATGAGTCGGATCCGGATCTGGTGGTACCCACTCTTTAGATCTATCTTTGAAAACAATGTGGCACCCGACATCATATCTAGCATGTCATTTAACCTCGGGATCGGAAAATGATACTTGACAGTGATCTTGTTCATAGCACGGCTATCAACACACATCCGCTAGGTCCCATCCTTCTTAGGGGTAAGAAGGGCTGGTATTGTATATGGACTAAGACTCTCCTCGATGAACCCTTGCTTCAGTAACTCCTCTACCTGCTTCTTAAGCTCAGCGAGCTCAATAGGATTCATGTGATAATGGGGCAGGTTCGGGAGTGAGGCTCCAGGAACAAAGTCTATGGCATGCTGAATATTCCTAAGTGAAGGTAATCTATCTGAGAGATCATCAGGGAATATATCAGCAAACTGCTCTAAAATAGGTTGGACTTCATCATGGATAGGCACGTCAGATTCAGTGGGAATCTCACGACCAAAAAGTGTATAAAGAGGAGCGCCGAGGGCAACCTCAGAATCCAAAACCTTAGCAGTAACCAAGTTCAGTCCCTTCATGGCGTTATTCGGGGAGGGCTTGGTGTCATCCTTACCCCGGGGCTGCGATGGTAAAAGCTTGATCTTTTTACCCATATGTTCGAACACGTAGGTGTTCGAGCACCCATAAATGTGGACATCATTATCAAATATCCAAGGTCTACCTAACAAAATCTGTCTAACATCCATACTCAAAACATCGAACCATACATTTTCCATGTAAGAGGCAAAGGAGATAGGCACGAGACTTTGTTCTTTCACCTCCAAGGTAGTGGAGTTGATCCAAGCTACCTTATAAGGACTGGGGTGAGGAACAGAAGAAAGTCCTAACCCGACCCGGGTAGAGAAACGGGTTGAAAATCCGAACCCGGACCCGACCCGACGGGTTGCCGGGTTGACCCGACCCGACACGGAACGAGCGCGGCATGTGCGAGCGCGGCAGGTGCGGCGAGCGGATGCGAGCGCGGTGGTGCAAGGCGGGTGCGAGCGCGGCAGGCGAGCGTGGCGGGTGCGAGCGTC